ACCCTCAGGCTCCTGGACAGTCTGAGAAACACGTGGTGGAAGATGGTCAGCGCAGAGCCCATTGGCTGGACACTCAGGGCAGTGACTCCCCCAGAGGTTAAGGCTGTCCATCTCAAGTTCATGGCTTGGTAACGGCCAGATTACAAGTGACAACCTAAGTTTACTTTGTAGAAAATCTTCTCACCAAAGGCAGATCTAGAATGTTTACAACAAAATAAACAGCTTTCCATGTAAGCATCTCCTACTGATGTCAGAATGAAGTCCTTTTGTGGTGGATAAACCTGAGCCCAGTTATTTCCATTTAGCATAAACTCTCAGATGCGGGCTGTTAAATAAACGGACGGCTGCCTCCCATTTGACCCCAGCATAATCCTTGCTCCCATCATGGCTCAAACATACCATTTCCACTTAGTTCACAGGAACCTCTGGGTGATCTGGTCCATTTTTAAAACAGTCACGAGTATTGTCAGTAATAAATGGCATAACCTACAAAAGTACCAGAGTGGCCGGGTGTACAGCCGAAGAAAATTTTTGAAAATATTTAAGTCTGAATAAAATAGTATCAAAACCTAATATTCCTACCTAAAATTACCCCCTCCCAAAATGAGTTGTTTGCTCTATCAAGCTAACAAACTTACCTACATTTATTTCCAGCAGCTCCTCGTCCCAAGGGTATCAGCCCCTTGGTTACTTTCCAGGTTAGAAAAAAGCAAACTTGTCTCAAAGTATGACTTAAAATGCTGCCTTTGGATTCGCCCCAGCTTTGCCATTTAATTAGTGACACTGGGCAAGTTTCCTAACTTCTCTAAGCCTCATGTCCTCAAGTATAAAGTAGGGCTAATTTCCATTTTTTAGGTTTGTGGTAAAAATGGAAAGTGGCAAAGGTTTGTGAAACACTAAGCATGGAGCCCAGCAGCACAGAACCTGATGGGCAGCAAGTCCTCCACAAACAGAAGCAATCATTGCTCACCCATTCTAAGACATTCCAGAACGCTGTTGCGCAGAGAGAAATGCCCAGGCACAGAACCTTCCTTGGGGGACTGTGTGCACCCCAGCAGGAGTGCTGGGAGTGCTGCAGAGGGTCAGGCACAGCCACGGGCAAAAGGCGGGAGATAGACGCTAAGGACAGTTCCACTGGGAAAGGTCAAGCTCCGGGGTGGGGAGGGGAGGGGAGTGTGAGAAGGTGTGGGGGTGGGAAACCTAAACAGGATGCTTTTCAAGGACAGCAGACAGGCAAATCCCCAAATCTCTCTCCTACCTGCCCTGATTCCAGAAATTGAACCTCTCTTTTAGGTTAAGGCTCAGTACTCTTAAAAACTGGGACTCCAAAAGCACAGAGGCGGGTGACTCATCTGTGTGTGTGTGTTTGCCTTGACAGAAGCGACAGAGTTTAAGCCGCTGCACAAGGGTCTATAACTTACTTTACACACGAGATATATATATATATATATTTTTTTTTTTTTTTTCCTACGCGGGCCTCTCTCTGTTTTGGCCTTTCCCGTTTCAGAGCACAGGCTCCAGGCGCACAGGCTCAGCGGCCATGGTTCACGGGCCCAGCCGCTCCGTGGCATGTGGGACCTTCCCGGACCGGGGCACGAACCCGTGTCCCCTGCATCGGCAGGCGGACTCTCAACCACTGCGCCACCAGGGAAGCCCCATGATATATTTTTTTTAAATATTTATTTATTTATTTGGCTGTGCTGGGTCTTAGCTGCGGCATGCGGGATTTTTGTCACCGCGTCCGGGATCTCTGTTGCAGCATGGGGGATCTTTTCTTTAGTTACAGCACGCAGGATCTTTAGTTGCGGCATGAGAACTCTTATCTGTGGCATGTGGGATCTAGTTCCCTGACCAGGGATCAAACCCGGGCCCCCTACATTGGGAGTGTGGAGTCAGACACTGGACCACGAGGGAAGTCCCACTTTGCACATGTTAAATGGCTGACAGTTCTGCCGTGTCTCCATCAGTTACACATTTTGACTTTTCTTTTGGGAGGCAGAGGAAATCTGACAATCTCCTCCTCCAACACTGAACATGCTATGGGGCTAAATTCAGGCTTTGAAACTGAGGAGGACCCTGTGGGGCTCCCGGGCATGGAGACTTTTCTGTCCCCCGTTTCTTGTGAGCAAGACTCTGGCCTCCATAACCTTCCCTGAGTTCCAAAGGGCAGATTTGAACTGTTGCTAATCAAGGGAGGAGCAGCCAAGAAACCACCTGAGGCCAGATTAAAGACCAGAGAAGCTCATCAAGATTAGGAGATCACCTGAGACCCTGCACACACCCTCATCTTGTCAGCAACTCCACCCTTGAACTATTGCTATAAACTCATCAAATCCCCCCAGGTGGGGACACATGGTTTTTCAAGACAGGAGCCCGCTGTGTCCCCCTTTGCTCAGCAAAGCAATAAAGCTATCCTTTTCTACTTCACCCAAAACTCTGTCTCCAAGATTCGATTTGGCACTGGTGTACAGAGAGGCTGAACTTTCAGCATCAGCTTCACCTAATTCAGTGCTGCCTATGACTCCCAACCCTTATACTGGAACCTTCCAAAGTTATCCATAAGCATCCTTAAGCTATGTATGTGCATGGGGAGTGGGGAGGGGAATGGAGACACTTTATGTTGTGATCAACTTCAGCCCTAAATAAATGTGGGCCTCTCTCGTAATGAAATAATAACAGCATTTACTCATCCATTCTTTCTTTTTAATTTTTGTTTTGTTGTTGTTGTTTTTATTTTTACTCATCCATTCTTCATACAGTACCTGCTATCCTGGAATTTATGTTCTAGTTGGGGGAGACAAACAAATAAATTAACAATAAAATACATAGGGTGCCCAATGATACTAGTGCTGTGGAAAAGAATAAAGCCAGGGAAGGACATGATGAGGGAGCATCAGCAGGAGAGAGGCAAGGCTGGGCCTCTCTGAAGGGTGAGCGTGCTAGACAGCACCCCAGCCTGGTGTGGGAAGGATGGGTGATGGTACAAGGTGAGGTCAGAGAGGCCAGGCCCAGGGCCCCAGGGGCATGGGGCCAGGTTAAGTCCTCTTAAGTTTGGCTTAGGCTCTGAGTCAGATAAGAAGCCACCAAAGACTAATATAATATGATTTACACTTTAAAAGGATCCTCTGGTCTCTGTGTTAAGAAGAAACTGTAGGAGTGAGGAATCAAGATGGCAGAATAGGAGGATGTGGAATTCACCCTTCCTCACAAGTACATCAAGAATACATCTACAGGTATGGCCCTGTTACCTTGGAGAGCTGAAGGGGTCTGGAGGTCCTGTGACGGTGTTCTGGGATGGAGATCTAAACAATATAAACATTAAACGGTACAGCTGCCTCAAATCCCAGGGAATTTCAGAATGACTGACACTTCTGAAGCTGTTACAAATTTTGAAGAGATGTTTGCCAGTAGATTCATAGAAGATGACAGAGTACCAGGAATACCTGAAACGCCCTCCTGAGTTCCCTCCAATTGTTGAGGAATGGAATAGCAGAGCTGGTGGGAACCAAAGAAATAGAGGCAATCAGTTGCAAGATAACAGACAGTTTAGAGCCAGGGATAGCAGACGGGGGTGGCCGAGTGACAATCGATCCATCAATGGCATGGACAAACCTGGGGTAACAATTACTCACAGCACAGACAAGAACCTTACTATCCCCATCAATATGGACACTATGGTCACAACCAACGGCCTCCCTATGGCTACTACTGATAGAAATGTCAGCAGCTTTTAGTAAAACCATTTACTCTGTTAACATGACAAAAGTTTATGTTGTATTTTCTGTTGGTCATAGTTTTACATCTGATTGTAGAGAGTGGATTGATTTTTTGGAACTTGAGAAAGAAAGAAAAAACAAAAGAAAAGAAATGAGAAGGGCCAGCATCCCTGGTGGGGAAATCAAGGTGGGGAGAGGTTCCTGCACTCAGAAAAGCCCATTCATGGCAGGAAAATCAGCTGGGGCAGAAAGGGACCTTTGGGGGACTGGAGGTGAACACAGCAACCGGTCTGTGGAAGGCAGGACAAAGTAAGAACTGCGTACATGGTCCGTGCCACAGCCCTGCGCACCCCAGCCTGAGGCACGTGTCTCCTGGTGTGGAGGGGGCTGGGTGCTGGAAACTGGGGTTTGGAGAGTAGACCCGGGGAGGACAGCGATTGGCTGTGAAGAGACAGCCTGAAGGGACAGGAGTAAGGAGCTCCACAACAGGGAAGGTTTTTGGAAGAAACCCAGGCTGCTATAGAAGCAAGGTATCATTGTTGAGTGGCACACAAGGAGAGGAGCCGCCATTGCAACCCCCTTCCCCACCGCTGGCCCCTGCCTCCACGGACACTGGGAGGGACTCCCACCAGAGCGAGCATGTCCCAGTCTGTTGCAACTTCCTGCCAGTCTCTGTCACCGCAGACACTTTACACGACCCAGTTGTGGCTGCCTTATCCCTCCACAGCCTGAGTGAGTAAGTTCCCCAGTCAGCGTGGGTGCCTCAATCACTGCTGCTTTCACCACCTCTCGCCTGGGTGGGGAAAAGACACCTAACGGTAGCCCACATGCAGAGGTGGGACCAAAACCAAAGCTGAGCCCCAGGAGCTGTGCTACTAAGGAAGAGGAACGGAATTCTCTCTGTGCAGTTGCACGAGCTGTGGATTAAATCCCTGTGATCTGCTTGGTAAACCCTGCATCTGAGGAATATCTGAATGGACATGTGCTCCCACAACTGAGACCAGTCTAGCTTTAGCAGCTGAGGGCAAGTACATGTGGGAGATGGGCCAGGTCAGAGTCTGAGCTGCTCCCACAGGGCCCACAGCAGGTCCAGAGACCTACCTAGAGGTATTGGAGGGCCTCCTGGGGAGGGAGGGGTTGGCTGTGGCTCACTGTGGGGTCAAGGACACTGAGAATGGAGGCCTCAGGAAAATATTATTATTACTATTGTTTTCCTATTTTTAAATTAATTTTTATGGGGTATAGTTGCTCCACAATGTTGTCTTAATTTCTACTGTACAGAAAAAAGGTATGGAACGCTTCATGAATTTGCATGTCATCCTTGCACAGGGGCCACGCTAATATTCTCTGTATCATTCCAATTTTAGTATATGTGCTACTGAAGCAAGTACTCTTTTTTGGTTTGTTTGTTTCACTTTGTTCTGTTGTTGTTTTCTGTTTTAATTTTATTTAATTTTTAAATATATTTTTTACTTTTCTATTTTTACTTTATTGTGGTTTTGTGGGGTTTTTTTCTTGTTTTTCCTTTTGTTCTTTTTTTTAATCGTCTTTGTGTGTTTGTTTTATGTTATCTTTGCTTTTTTTTTTTTTTTTTTTTTTTTGTGGTACGTGGGCCTCTCACCATTGTGGCCTCTCCTGTTGTGGAGCACAGGCTCCAGACGCGCAGACTCAGTGGTCATGGCTCACGGGCCCAGCCGCTCTGCGGCATGTGGGATCTTCCCAGACCAGGGCACGAACCTGTGTCCCCTGCATCGGCAGGCGGACTCTCAACCACTGCACCACCAGGGAAGCCCCACCTTTGTTTTTAGTTTGCTTTCTGTTTTTGTTTTGTTTTGTTGTTTTTGTTAGTTTTTTATTGTTTGTTTTGGGGTTCTTTTGTTTGTTCAGTTGTTCTCTTGGGTTTTTTTGTTTGTTTGTATTTTCTTTTTTCTGTTTGTCTGTTTGGTTTTGCTTTTATCACTTGTCTTGGATTTTGCTTGTCTGCTTGTTTTCTTTTCTTCTTTTTCTTGGCTGTGCAGCTTGTGGGGTCTCACTTCCCCAGCCAGGGGTTGGGATAAGAGTGCCAAGCCCAGGATACCAGACCACCAGAAAACTCCTGGACCCAGAGAATATTAGTCAGCATAAGCTCTCCCAGAGGTCTCCATCTTGACACTAAGACCTGGCTTCACCAAACTGCCTGCAGATTCCAGTGCTGGATGCCTCACACCAAACAACCAGCAAGACAGGAACACAGCCCCACCCATTAGCAGACAGGCTGCCTAAAAGTCGTACTAAGCTCACAGACACCCCAAAACACACTACCTGACACAGCCCAGCCCATCAGAGGCAAAAGACTCAGTTCCAATCAACAGAGTGCCGGCACCAGTCCCTCCTACCAGGAAGCTGACACAAGTGCCTGGACCAACCTCACCCACCAGGGGGCAGACACTAGAAGCAAGAGGAACTATGACCCTGAAGCCTGTGGAAAGGAGACCATAAACACAGTAAGTTACACAAAATGAGACAACAGAGAAATATGTTGTAGATGAAGAAGCAAGGTAAAAATCCACAAGACCAAATGAATGAAGAGGAAATACGCAGTCTACCTGAAAAAGAATTCAGAGTAATGATAATAAAGATGATACAAAATCTTGGAAATAGAATGGAGGCACAGATTGAGAAGATAAAAGAAATGTTTAACCAGGACCTAGAAGAACTTTCAAAGAACAAACAGTGATAAACAATACAATAACTGAAATGAAAAATACACAGAAGATAGAATAAGTGAGCTGGAAGATAAAATGGTGGAAATAACTGCTGAGGAGCAAAATAAAAAAAAAAGAATGAAAAGAAATTAGGACAGTCTCAGAGACCTCTGGGACAACATTAAATGCACCAACATTCGAATTATAGAGGTCCCAGAAGACAACGAGAAAGAGAAAGGGTCTGAGAAAATATTTAAAGAGATTATAGTCAAAAACTTCCCTAACATGAGAAAGGAAATAGCCACCCAATTCCAGGTAGCACAGAGAGTCCCATACAGGATAAAGCCAAGGAGAAACATGCTGAGACACATACTAAATACACAAAAAATATTACATACAAAGAAAAAGTATTAAAAGCAGCAAGGGAAAAGCAACAAATAACATACAAGGGAATCCTCAGAAGGTTAACAGATGACCTTTCAGCAGAAACACTGCAGGCCAGAAGGGAGTGGCAAGATATATTTAAACTGATGAAAGGGAGAAACCTACAACCAATATTACTCTACCCAGCAAGTATCTCATTCAGATTTGACAGAGAAATCAAAAGCTTTACAGACAAGCAAAAGATAAAAGAATAAAGCACCATCAAACCAGCTTTACAACAAAAGCTAAAGGAACTTCTCTAGGCAGGAAACACAAGAGAAGGAAAACACCTACAAAAACAAACCCAAAACAATTAAGAATATGATAATAGGAAAATACATATCAATAATTACCTTAAATGTAAATGGATTAAATGCTCCAAGCAAAAGACACAGACTGGCTGAATGGATAAAAAACAAGGCCCATATATATGCTGTCTACAAGAGACCCACTTCAAACCTAGGGACACACACAGACTGAAAGTGAGGGGATGGAAAAAGATATTCCATGCAAATGGAAATCAAAAGAAACCTGGAGTAGCAATATTCATATCAGACAAAATAGACTTTAAAATAAAGAATGTTAGAAGAGACAAGGAAGGACACTACATAATGATCAAGGGATCAATCCAAGAAGATATAACAATTGTAAATATTTATGCACCTAACAGAGGAGCACCTCAATACATAAGGTAAATACTAACAGCCATAAAAGGGGAAATTGACAGTAACACAATAATAGTGGGGGACTTTAACATTCCACTTATACCAATGGACAGATCATCCAGACAGAAAATTAGTAAGGAAACACAAGCCTTAAATAACACATTAGACCAGATAGACTTCACTGATATTTATAGGACATTCCAACTAAAAGCAGCAGAATACATTCTGTTCTCAAGTGCACATGGAACATTCTCCAGGGTAGATCACATCTTGGGTCACAAATCAAGCCTTCGTAAATTTAAGAAAACTGAAATCGTATCAAGCGTCTTTTCCGACCACAACACTATGAGATTAGAAATCTATTACAGGAAAAAAAACTGTAAAAAACATAAACACATGGAAGCTAAACAATACATTACTAAATAACCAAGAGATCACTGAAGAAATCAAAGAGAAAATCAAAAAATACGTAGAGACAAATGATAACAAAAACACGATGTTCCAAAACCTATGGGATGCAGCAAAAGAAGTTCTAAGAGGGAAGTTTATAGCAATTCAATCTCACCCCAAGAAATAAGAAAAATCTCAAATAAACAATCTAACCCTACACCTAAGGCAACTAGAGAAAGAAGAACAAAGAAAACCCAAAGTCAGTAGAAGGAAAGAAATCATAAGGATCAGAGCAGAAACAGAAACAAAGAAAACAATAGCAAAGATCAATAAAACAAAAAGCTGGTTCTTTGAGAAGATAAACAAAATTGATAAACCTTTAGCCAGACTCATCAAGAAAAAAGGGAGAGGACTCAAATCAATAAAATTAGAGATGAAAAAGGAGAAGTTACAACTGACACCGCAAAAATACAAAGCATCATAAGAGACTACTACAAGCAGGTATATGCCAAAAAAATGGACAACCTGGAAGAAATGGACAAATTGTTGGAAAGGTACAACCTTCCAAGACTGAACCAGGAAGAAATACAAAATATGAACAGACCAATGACAAGTAATGAAATTGAAACTGTGATTAAAAATCTTCCTGCAAACGGGACTTCCCTGATGGTGCAGTGGTTAAGAATCGGTGCTCCCAATGAAGGGGGCCTGGGTTCAATCCCTGGTCAGGGAACTAGGTCCCAGATGCATGCCACAACTAAGAGTTTGCATCCCTCAACTAAAAAAGATCCAGCATGCTGCAACTAAGGAACCAACGTGCCATAACTAAGGAGCCCACATGCCACAACTAAGGAGCCAGCAAGCCACAACTAAGACCCAAGCAACCAATAAATAAATAAAATAAAATAAATATTAAAAACAAATCTTCCAGCAACCAGAAGTCCAGGACCAGATGGCTTCACAGGTGAATTCCATCAAACATTTAAAGGAGAGCTAACACCTATCCTTCTCAAACTCTTCCAAAAACCTGCAGAGGGAGGAATTCTCCTAAGCTCATTCTATGACGCCACTATCACCCTGATATCAAAACCAGACAAAGAACTCACAAAAAAAGAAAATTAGAGGCCAATATCACTGATGAACATAGATGCAAAAATACTCAACAAAATACTAGCAAACAGAATCCAACAACACATTAAAAGGATCATACACCATGATCAAGTGGGGTTTACCCCAGGAATGCAAGGATTCTTCAATATATGCAAATCAATCAATGTGATATGCCATATTAACAAACTGAAGGATAAAAGCCATATGATCATCCCAATAGATGCAAAAAAAGCTTTTGATAAAATTCAATACCCATTTATGATTAAAAACTCTCCAGAAAGTGGGCATAGAGGGAAACTACCTCAACATAATAAAGACCATATATGACAAACCCACAGCAAACATCATTCTCAATGGTGAAAAACTGAAAGCATCTCCTCTAAGATCAGGAACAAGACAAGGATGTCCACTCTTGCTACTTTTATTCAACATAGTTTTGGAAGTCCTAGCCATGACAATCAGAGAAGAAAACTAAATAAAAGGAATCCAAATTGGAAAAGAAGAAGTAAAACTGTCACTGTTTGCACATGACATGATACTATACATAGAGAATCATAAAGATTCTACCATAAAACTACTAGAGCTAATCAGTGAATTTGGTAAAGTTGCAGGATACAAAATTAATGCACAGAAATCTCTTGAATTCCTATACACTAACAATGAATGATCAGAAAGAGAAGGAAAAAATCCCATTCACCATTGCAACAAAAAGAATAAAATACCTAGGAATAAACCTACCTAAGGAGGTAAAAGACCTATACTCAGAAAACTGTAAGACACTGATGAAAGCAATCAAAGATGACACAAACAGATGGAGATATACCATGTTCTTGGATTGGAAGAATCAACATTGTGAAAATGACTATACTACCCAAAGCAATCTAGATTCAATTCAATCCCTATCAAATTACCAATGGCATTTTTTACAGAACTAAAACAAAAAATCTTAAAATCTGTATGGTGACACAAAAGACCCTGAAGAGCCAAAGCAATCTTGAGGGAAAAAAAATGGAGCTGGAGGAATCGGACTCCCTGACTTCAGACTATACTACAAAGTAACAGTAATCAAGACAATATGGTACTGGCACAAAAACAGAAATATAGGTCAATGGAACAGGATAGAAAGCCCAGAGATAAACCCACACACCTATAGTCAACTAATCTATGACAAAGGAGGTGAGGATATACAATGGAGAAAAGACAGTCTCTTCAATAAGTGGTGCTGGGAAAACTGGACAGCTACATATAAAAGAATAAAATTAGAACACTCCCTAATACCACACACAAAAATAAACTCAAAATGGATTAGAGACCTAAATGTAAGACCAGACACTATAAAACTCTTAGAGGAAAACATAGGGAGAACACTCTTTGACATAAATCACAGCAAGATCTTTTTCAATCCACCTCCTAGAGTAATGGAAATAAAAACAAAAATAAACAAATGGGACCTAATGAAACTTAAAAGCTTTTGCACAGCAAAGTAAACCACAAATAAGACGAAAAGAAAACCCTCAGAATGGGAGAAATTATTTGCAAACTAAGCAACTGACAAGGGATTAATCTGCAAAATATACAAACAGCTCATGCAGCTCAATATCAAAAAAACAAACAACCCAATCAAAAAATGGGCAGAAGACCTAAATAGACATTTCTCCAAAGAAGACATACAGATGGCCAACAAACACATGAAAAGATGCTTAACATCACTCACTAATTATTAGAGAAATGGAAATCAATATTACAGTAAAGTATCACCTCACACCAGTCAGAATGGCCACCATCAAAAAATCTACAAACAATAAATGCTGGAGAGGATGTGGAGAAAAGGGAATCCTCCTACACTGTTGGTGGGAATGTAAATTGGTACAGCCACTATGGAGAACAGTATGGAGGTTCCTCAAAAAACTAAAAATAGAACTACCATATGACCCAGCAATCCCACTCCTGGGCATATATCTGGAGAAAACTATAATTCAAAAAGATACACATGCACCCCAATGTTCATTGCAGCACTATTTACAATAGCCAGAACTTGGAAGCAACCTAAATGTCCATCAATAGAAGAATGGATAAAGAAGATGTGGTACATATATATAATGCAATATTACTCAGTCGTAAAAAGGAACGAAATTGTGCAATCTGCAGAAACGTGGATGGACCTAGAGACTGTTATACAGAGTGAAGTTAGTCAGAAAGAGAAAAACAAGTATTGTATAATATTGCTTATATGTGGAATCTAGAAAAAATTATACAGATGAACTTATTTGCAAAGCAGAAATAGAGACAGAGACAGAGAGAATGGATGTATGGTTATCAAGGACGAAAGAGGGGAGTGGAATGAATTGGGAGATTAGGATTGACATATATACACTATTATGTATAAAATAGATACCTAATAAGAACCGAGTGTATAGCACAGGTAACTCTACTCAATGCTCTGTGGTGACCTCTTTAAGGGGATATATGTATACGTATAGCTGATTCACTTTGCTGTACAGCAGAAACTAACACAACATTGTAAAGCAACTATACTCCAATAAAAATTAATTTAAAAAAAGGAAGAAATGCAATTTTTTTGAATATTCATATTTAGTTGACTGGGTGTACCTAGTTAACCATTATTATTCAATTATTTAATTATTTGTTTGTTTATTTATTTATTTATTTTGGCTGTGTTGGGTCTTTGTTGCCGCACACAGGCTTTCTCTAGTTGCGGTGAGTGAGGGCTGCTCTTCATTGTGGTGCGCGGTCTTCTCATTGCAGTGGCTTCTCTTATTGCAGAGCATGGGCTCTAGGTGCATGGGCTTCAGTCGTTGCAGCACGCAGGCCCTAGAGAGTGTGGGCTTCAGTAATTGCAGCGCATGGGCTCAGTAGTTGTGGCTTGCAGGCTCTAGAGTGCAGGCTCAGTAGTTGTGGCTCACGGGCTTAGCTGCTCCGTGGCATGTCGGATCTTCCTGGACCAGGGATCGAACCTGTGTCCCCTGCATTGGCAGGCAGATTCTTAACCACTGTGCCACCATGGAAGTCTCTGTTCAACGTTTAATTTAGTGACAATTTACTGTAATTATAGATGTCACTATACACAAAGCTTATTTTTATTATGAATTATTTCTTTAGTTTTGGTTAACAGAACTGGAATTCCTGCATGAAAAGTAAAATATTTCTAAGCCCATGTATATGTATTTCCATATAGTTTCTATATGAATATGTGAAAGCACAACTTATGAGTGAAGTTTCTCTGCTTTTATATATTCCATTAAAGACAATAATAGAAATAAATAAAAAATTAAAAAAAAAAGAAGAAACTATAGGAGGATAAAGAGCAGATGTGAGAAAAGCTAGTTATGAGATTAACAATAATCCAGAAGACAGATGCTACTGGCAGGGACCAGGGTGGTGGCAGTGGAGACAAAGGAGAGCTGACAGGATTTGCTGATAGACTGGATATGAGATTAAAGAGAAAGAAAGAAGTTGAGGATGACTCCCAGGTTTCTGCCTAAGTGAACAGAAGGATGGAAGTACTTTTTTGAGATGAGAAAGCCTCAAAGAACAGGTGTGTCTATGTATATATGAGACGGTAGAGGAATCAGGAATTTGGTTATGTCAAATTTAGGAAGTCTAATAGAAATCTAAGTGATGATGTGAAATACATAGATAGTATAAATGTCAAGCCAGAGGTCCAAACTAGAGAGAGAAATCTGGGACTGAGCGGGGTACTGAGAGCATTTAAGGCCCCGAGACTGGATAAGATCACTCAGGGAAGGGTGTGATGACAGACAGGAGATCTGAGGACTCAGCCCTGGGCTCTCCAACACTAAGGGGCTGGAGAGGAAGGAATCAGGCAAAGAAGACTGAGAACGAATAAGACAGAAAAGTAAGAAAAAAAAATTAAGATGCTGCTTCCCAGAAAGCCCACTGAAGAAAGAATTCAAGAAGGAAAAAAGTCAATGCTGCTGACAGATCAAGAAGGAGAACGCTTGAGAAGTGACTACTGGATTTAACAATGTGGAGGTCATGACCTTGACAAGAGCTATTTCCATGGAGTGATGGAGATAGAAGCCAGGTTGGAGGGTTTTAGGAGGAACTGGGAGGAGACGAACTGGGGACAACAGGTGTAGATGACTCTTCTGAGGGTTTTCTGTAGAAGAGAACAGAGGAATGAGTCTGTAACTAGATGGGGATTTGGGGTCTAGGGTGGGCATTTTGTTAAGATGGGAGCTATTAAAGCATGTTTGTATGATCATGAGAATGACCAGCAGAGGTGGGATTAACGATGCAGGAGATTACCAGAAGTGACAACCTTGAGTAGGTGAAAGCAGACTGGAAGAGAAGGACAGGCAGGGATGGGTTTCCCACAGAAACAGGAGGGAAGGAAGCTGATGGATGTGAAGTGTGAGTGTGTGCTCATTCTCTTTTGAGTGCTTCTGTTTTCTTGATTAAATAGGAAACTAAGATTATCAGCTGAGAAAGAGGTTGAAGGAGGTAATGGGGGTTTGCAAAGAGAGAAGAAGATACTACAAAGTCATCCAAGAGGGCAGGAGAATGAACATGCTAGGAAAATAGTGTATGATGGATGGGCAGCAAAGAGGCTCAACTTGAGGTAGGAGGTTATGAATTTAATGGATCTTGTCATGAGGATGCGGAGAAAAGGGAACCCTCATACACTGTTGATGGGAATGTAAATTGGTGCAGCCACTGTGGAAAACAGTATGGAGTTTTCTCAGAAAACTAAAAGGAGAACTACCACATGACTCAGAAATTCCACTCCTGGGTACCTATCTGAAAAAAACAAAATCACTAATTAAAAAAGATACATGCACCCCAATATTCATAGCAGCATTACTTACAATTACTAAGATATGGAAACAACCTAAGTGTCCATCAACAGATGGATGGATAAAGAAGATGTGGTATACACACACACACACACACACACACACACACACACGCACAATGGAATACTGTTCAGCCATAAACAAGAATGAAATTTTGCCATTTGCAACAACAGGGATGGACTTGGAAGGTATTATGCTAAGTTAAAGAAGTCAGACCACTTACATGTAGAATCTAAAAAATAAACTAGGGACTTCCCTAGTGGTCCAGTGGTTTAGAATCCGCCTTCCAATGCAGGGGACGCAGGTTCGATCCCTGGACGGAGAACTAAGATGCCACAGGGCAACTAAGCCTGCGCGCCACAACTACTGAGTTTGCACGCCTTAACTAGAGAGCCCACGTACCACAAACTACAGAGCCCATGCGCTCTGGAGCCTGTGCGCCACAACTAGAGAGAAGCTCATACACCACAACTAGAGAGAAACCCACAGGCCGCAACTAGAGAGAAGCCCAAGCACCACAATGAAGAGCCCAAGCACTTCAACGAAAGATCCCACGTCTCAACGAACATCCCGTGTGCTGCAACTAAGACCCAACGCAGCCAAAAATTTTTTTAAATAAATAAATAAAATAAAATAAATTAAAATAAATAAATAAAACAAACTAGTGAGTATAACAAAAAAGAAACAGACTCAGAGGTATAGAGAACAAACTAGTGGTTACCAGTGGGGAGAAAGAAGGGAGGAGGGGCAAGATGGCGTAGGGGATTAAGAGGTACAAACTATTATGTACAAAATAAATAAGCTACAAGGATATATTATACAACACAGGGAATATAGCCAATATTCTATAATAACTATAAATGGAGTATAACCTTTAAAAATTGTGAATTACTATGTTGTACACGTGTAACATATAATATTGCACATAAATTATAGCTCAATTAAAAAAAAAATGGAGCCTGGTCAGCGTGGTGGTGTGCTGAGGTGCCCAGGCACTGAACTCATGAAGAGCTGGATTTCCAAAGCCCACCACATGCCAGGCATTACACCTCATACACTTTGACCCTCATTATGGCTGCCCCGTGACAAGGTAGGCATTACTATCTCCATTTTACAAATGAAGGAACCAAGACATGGAGGCCAAATGACTTGTCCAAGGCAAAACCACAGAAAAAAGTAGAATCAGAATTCAAACTAGACAGTCAAATGCAGCACCACCACTCCCCATGCCGTGCAAAATGGTTGTCTCAGGATATGAGTGCTCCTTCCCATGTTTAGACCTTTATAAGGGCTTCCAAAAGAATCTTTTTTCATAAAATGTCTAGATTTTAAACAAATACTCCAATATAAATATTTCAATGGTCAACTCAATTCAAATTAATAACAGTTGCTTTCTTTGGGATGGAAAGTAATGTAGAGGCAGCAGGATGGGAAGGGGAAGAGGAAAGGTTAAATGAACTAAGATTCTGAGCCTAGAAAGAAAAAGGATAAGAAATGATCTAATTCTTGCTCTGGAACTAAATTAAACAGGAATCTGACTGATCCTGATTACTATGTCCTGAAAATCAGAAAAGAATCATCAGGAAGTTTAAAAGTATTTTTTTTTTCATAGAATTCTTGAAGATAATGACAGGTACACACCCTACTTACTGCCAATGTTAAATTCATCTTCATTAAGGCCCACATTTTCTTAGTACCTGTGTGCTCTTTAAAAATATATATTTGGGTTTCTTAATATTAACAACAACAACAACAATAATAATAGCACCAGAATACTGTAATAGCAATTGCCTGAGCACCAATGTATGGCAAACACTATGATGTGTCCCTGCACTGTTCCCTGAGTTAAACCTACTCCATGAAGCAAGCATTTTGATCCCCATTTTGTAGCTGATTCTGGAACTCAGAGGGGTTAAGAAATATGACCTGAGTCACATAACCAGTAAGTGGCAAAGCTTTGAATATGTGGACCTACAGGCCTGGATTAGGCAATAAACAGGGAGGAGATGGGCTTTACAACCAGAGGTGGTCACTAACTATGTCAAAGAATTATCATTAAACTTAAAAAACAGACTTTTCGGCAATTCGGTCAGGGAAACTTACAGAAAAGTTGTTACCTAAATCCAGAGTATACTTCATAAGAGGAACACTAAAGTCCCTATGACACACAACAGGCCCACATGGCTATTTTCTGAAGTTTTAAAAGAACAAAACAAAAAACCAATTCTACCCTCTCCCAGTGAACCAAGTGCTCCCTGCCTCTAAATGGATTTGGATGGAGATCAGAAAGGGACTCAGACAAAAAGGCCTCCAGGAAACAGCTCCTTGTCCTGGTTCCACCAGGACAGGGAGGCTGTCCTTTGAAGTCTCTCCCAACAGTTTTGCTTAGATAAGATGTTTTTCTCCCCGAGACAATGAGATCTGCCTTTGGAAGACAGAGAAACAAACTATCACATATAGGTATATGTCAGGATTTTTTTGTTTGTTCAATGTTAGTTTGTTTTAAACTGTGCTTCTTACCTGGATCCGTATCAGAAGAGCAAGGAATAGAAAAGGCTTCCTCAGAACTAAAAGCCTCACTGTTGGCCTCCTGGCTGGGTCTCTGCAACACGTAATCCCTTATGTCATAAGCTGATGGCAGGTCCAAAGCATTGCTCTCCTCTGATTGGCTTCCTGGAGTGGCTTCCTGATTTGCCATAGTCCTGCCATGGAAAAAATAAAACAATTCAATACAGAAGGTATTGCATAAGAGGAGCCTCCATTACAGCCATGGCTTAAAGCACCTTAAAGGCCAAAAAACAGTAGAACCAAAATAATTTACTTTCCTGTTACTAACAGTCTTCCTTGTCTTTGCTTTACTTTCCTGTTATTAATGGTCTTCCTTGTCTTTGCTTTAGACCCAGCATTTGTTTACCATGTTTCTTCATCATGAGAAACAAATAACTCTCAGCACAGAAAGAAACCATGAATCATTTCAGCTGGAAAGTGAACTGCATGTCTGATAAGGATGAAATACTGTTTAGCACTATAATCCAAGGACTACACAAATATTTAATGAGATGGGAAACTGTCCATGATATATTAAATGGAAAAAGATTTAAAAACTATAGGTAGGGTTTGATCCATATTTTATAAAATATCGTGTGTGGGATGTGTGTGTATGAAATATACAGACCTATAGCTAGAAAAAAAAAGTCTAGAAGGGTATATCCCAAATTAATTCCAGTGATAATTAACTCAGTGGTTTAATTTCTGGGTAGTGAAATTACAGGTGATTTGCATCTTCTTCTGTGGCCTTCAGACAACTGTTAACATGCCAGGCCCCAGGGATGCAAAGATGAATGTGATAGACACTTCCTTTGAGTTGCTCAGGTTGGGATGATCCAAACACAGGGACAGACAGTGCTAACACCATGATAAGATGAAGAGGCGCCCAGAGAGGGGCAGTAGGCTTTCTGAAGGAGGCTGTCCCCAAGTGTGGGGCAGGCCATGGCCAGGGGACAGTATGAACCCCAGAGGAACCAGCTTGGGCAACCACAACTGGCAAGAGGTGTTGAGAGTTTTGGACATTTCTTGTTAAAAATTAGGTGTCCCTTATCCCTCCTGGTTGATGTCTACCTGTGGGCTGGAGGGCTCTTTGCAGTACATCCAGCCCTGCCCACCTCTCTGTAAAATAATTATGGGCCTGGAGAGATCCTGGACCCTCTGCTACTCTCTGCCTCTTAAGTTGTCATCAGTAAATCTTACTATGGTCAACACCACACCCTGTGACTACCACAGGCCACCAGGTACCATGCAGAGGAGACACATGGTCAGATCTGCAGATTTGGCAGCTGGACAGCAGGCAATCTCAGGAGCGACAGGAATTCAGACAACTGTTGTGGTCCCAGTGAGAGAGGAAGAGCAGGGCAGGGCACTAGCAGCCAAGAGCAGGGGACAGACTAAGAAGATGTTTAGGAACAGAAATAAGAGTCAAACTTAATAACTGAATGGATAAAAGGGCTAAAGAGGAACCAGAAGTCAACAAAGAGTGGTAGCTTCAGTGACAGGTTTGTATTATCAACTGAGTGAGAGCAGACCGGAGAAGGATAGGTTTGGGAGGAGGCAGTATTCCAAATTATGGGATATTATCCAGCTGTTAAAATGACAGTCAGAACTTGAAAGATCTATGTCTGAATGACAGAAGCAATTTCAGAATAACATGAGCAGTATAATAATACGAGTAGTTAACATTTATTAAGTGCTTTTTGGTTGCCAGGCATTGTGCTAAGAGCTTCATCTCCAACAGCCCTATGAAGCAGGTAATCTTATTATTACCCTCATTTACAGTCAGATAGTCGGCCCCAAACACAGGAGAAGTAGAGTAACTAGCCCAAGGAAACCCGTCCAGAAAGTACCAACCTAGGATGAACCCAGCTCCAGAGCCTCCCGACTGCAGCCCAAACTACCACCTGATCAAGCAAAGATAGGAGGTATAAAAACAAATCAACAGAGAGACCTGGCAAGACACCTCTCATTTGAGGACACCCAGTCACATGCTGTTGTGGACATTCGCTCAGGCAGACAGTGAGCCAAGATATCAGCTGATTGCTTCTGGAAGGAGTGAGGTGATCAAGATTCCCAAAGAAGCAAAAACATCCTGTCTTTGCACACTGCTATATTAGCCAACCAAGCCCGAAGTTTCAGCAAACACCTCTGCTGCAGGCATCTGTGGCTCCTCCTTCTGCCCTCATCTTACCAAACACTGCTCTGGAGGTTTCTGGAAGGGAACAAACAGGTTAATAAATGACAGCCACGTATCCTGCTTGCCTACAAAGTTGCATTGAAATCAGCCAGCAACAGAAGTCGTTATTAATGACATGGAACAAAAGGAATCCTTTTTGAAAACAAATAGCACCTTGATGTGATATCTATCTTTTCTTTTATAATCACTTATATTAAATGTCAAATACATCACAAACTGGTTATTTGAACAAAAAAAAGAAAAAAACAATCTACTGAAAGGCAGAATCCTGTTTATTACAAAATAAGTACCTGTGCATGTAAAACATTATTTTGGATTCAATGAATTTGTACAGGAGAAATCAAATAATAGGGACAGGTGAGACCCTTCTAATGATCTGAAACTACCTAGGCTGGCCAAGTAGAATGCAATGATTATCCTTTGCCCCAAAACTTTTGATATGTGGTTCAATTTCCTTCTCTAGAAGTGCTTATTTTCTTCTCTTAAAGGTGCTTTAATTACACAATCTAAATATTATTTTCCAATACTTGGGAGTATAGGATGCCTTGTGACTGCAGGCACAAGAAGTTTCTCAGTACATAAATACCTGCTTACCAAGAGAAAGCAGCCATTGCTCTACAGATTCTTACAAATCTACAAAAACAACTCAGTCAGGGTCCATGTATAAGAAGCAGTTTAATTTCATTTACTTTTTTCTTTTTATTTTTGGCCACACCATGTGGCTTGTGGGATCTTAGTTCCCCAACCAGGGACTGAACCCAGGCCATGGCAGTGAAGTGCCAAGTCCTAACCACTGGACTTCCAAGGAACTATGTACTTTTTTTTTTTTTTTTTCCAATTAAGGCTCTTTCCTCCCAATATTTTAGATGAAAAATTTCAAACAAAGGATAGTGGAAAGAATTTAATACAATGACCATCCATATAGCTACTGCCTAGATTTCTTTATTCTTACTCAATTTACTTAAACACCAAAACAAAACCAAAAACAGTTCACCCATTTCTTCCACCACTCTCCCCCCGCCACTTCTGACAACCGCCAATCTGCTCTCTGTATCTATAAGCTTAATATAAAGTATTTGTATTTCTCTGACTCATTTCACTTATAGTGGTCTCAGGGACATTCATGTTGTTGCAAATAGCAAGATTTCATTCTTTTTTATGGCTGAATAATATTACATTGTACATATATATCACATCTTCCTTATTTACTCATCCATCAATGGACCCTTAGGTTGTTTTTCTATCTTGGCTATTATAAATAATGCTGCAATGAACATGGGGGTGCATATATCTTTTCTAATTAGTGTTCTTGTTTTCTTTGGATAAATACTCAAAATTGGAATTCCTGGATCATATGGTAGTTCTATTTTTAACTTTTTGAGGAACCTCCACACTTTTCTATAGTGGCACCAATTTACATTGCCATGAGGTTTCCATTTTCTCTATATCTATGCCAACACTTGTTATTTCTAGTCTCTATTTATTTATTGGCCACGCCCTGCGGCCTGTGGGGTCCTAGTTCCCTGACCAGGGATCAAACCTGCACCACTGCATTGGAAGCACAGAGTCTTAACCACTGGACCACCAGTCTTTTTTTTTTTTTTTTTTGCGGTACGCGGGCCTCTCACTGCTGTGGCCTCTCCTGTTGCGAAGCACAGGCTCCGGACGCGCAGGCTCAGCGGCCATGGCTCACGGGCCTAGCCGCTCCGCTGCATGTGGGATCTTCCCGGACTGGGGCATGAACCCATGTCCCCTGCATCGGCAGGCGGACTCTCAACCACTGCACCACCAGGGAAGCCCAGGACCACCAGTCTTTTTGATATTAGCCATTCTGACAGGTGTGAGGTGATATCTCATTGTGGTTCTGATTTGCATTTCCCTGATGATTAATGATGTAGAGCATCTTTTCATGTACCTGTTGGCCATCCATATTTCTTCTTGGGAAAAAATGTCTACTCATATCTTCTACCCATTTTTTAATTGGATTGGTTGTTTTTTTGCTATTGAGTTGTATGGGTTCTTTATATATTTTAGATATTAGCCCCTTATCAGATATATGATTTGCAAATACTTTCTCCCATTCAGTAGGTTGCCTTTTCATTTGTTGATGGTTTCCTTTGCTGTGCAAAAGATTTTTAGTTTAATATAGTCCCACCTGTTTATTTTTGCTTTTGTTGCTTTTGGTTTTGGTGTCAGATTCAAAAAATCATCATCAAGACCTATGTCAAAGGACTTCCCTGGTGGCACAGTGGTTAAGAATCTGCCTGCCAATACAGGGGACATGGGTTCGAGCCCTGGTCTGGGACGATTCCATGTGCCGCAGAGCAACTAAGCCCCGTGCGCCACAACTACTGAGCCTGCACTCTAGAGCCTGCAAGCCCCAACTCCTGAAGTCCCTGCACCTAGAACCCGTGCTCCACAACAAGAGAAGCCACCATAATGAGAAGCTGGCGCACTGCAACGAAGAGTAGCCCCTACTCACCACAACTAGAGAAAGCCCGCAAGAAGCAACGAAGACCCAATGCAGCCAAAAATAAATAAATAAATAATTTTTTTTAAAGATGTATGTCAAGGACTTTATCACCTCTATTTTCTTCTAGGATTTTTACAGTTTTAGGTCTCAAGCTCAAGTCTTTAATCCATTTTGAGTTAATTTTTGTGTATGGTGGTCCAATTTCATTCTTTTGCATGTGCTGTCAATTTTCCTAGCACTATTTATTGAAGAGACTGTCCTTTCACCATTGGACATTCTTGTCTCCTTTCTCATAAATTAATTAATATATGCATAGGTTTATTTCTGAGCTCTCTATTCTGTTCCATTGATTTATGTGTCTGTTTTTAATGCCACCATACTGTTTTAATTATTATAGCTTTGTAATATAGTTTGAAATAAGGGCACATGATGCCTGCAGCTTTGTTCTTTCTCAAGATTGCTGTGGCTATTCAGAATCTTTCATAGTTCAAAATTTTTTTTTGTTTGTTTTATTACTGTGAAAAATGTCATTGGGATTTTGATCAGTATTGCATTGAGTCTGTATATTGTTTGGGGTAGCATGGACACTGTAATATTAATTCTTCCAATCCATGAGCACAGAATATCTTTCCATTTATTTGTGTGTTCTTCAATTTCTTTCATTAATTTCTTGTAGTTTTCACTGCACAGGTCTTTCACCTTCTTGGTTAAATTTATTCCTAGGTAAAAACAAAAATCTTTTAAAAAGAAAAAGAAAAAAACTTATTCCTAGGTATTTTATTTTATTTTATTTTATTTTATTTTTCTTGCGGTACACAGGCCTCTCACTGTTGTGGCCTCTCCCATTGCGGAGCACAGGCTCCGGACGTGCAGGCTCAGCAGCCATGGCTCACGGGCCCAGCCGCTCCGCGGCATGTGGGATCCTCCTGGACCGGGGCACGAACCCGCATCCCCTGCATCAGCAGGCAGACTCTCAACCACTGCGCCACCAGGGAAGCCCTATTTTATTATTTTTGATGCAATTGTAAATGGGACTGTATTCTTAATTTCTCTCTCTGATAGTTCATTATGCAACCGACTTTTGTGTGTTGATTTTGTATCTTGCAACTTTGCTGAATTTGTTTATTCTAACAGTTTGTTGATGGAGTCTTTATGGTTTTCCATATATAATATCATGTCATCTTCAAACAGTGACAGTTTTACTTCTTCCTTTCCAATAGAGATGCCTTTTACTTCTTTTTCTTGCCTAACTGCTCTGGCTAGAACTTCCAGTACTATGTTAAATAGAAGTGGCAAAAGTAGGCATCACTCTCTTGTTCCTAATCTTAGCTGTGGGCTTGTCACTTATGGCCTTTTCCTAGATTTCATAATTAACATTTTACTATGATTTTCTTTATCAGATAACCAGCTATCCAACTCTCTATTCATCCATCAATTCACTTATTTTTATACATATTTCCATTTAAAAATTGATATAATGAAAGCTTCTGAGGGGATGTGTATGATATAATCAATTTGCATCTTCAAAGGCTCACTCTGTCAGCTGAGTGAAACACAAATGAGAGGAGGGTAAACGTGAAGTAAGGAACACAGCTAAGAAGCTCTGCAAAAATGTCCAGAGATGTGCAGGGGCTCTGGAGTTGGAGAGACTGCTCTCACTTTTTAGCTGTCACCTTGGGCAAGTCACTTAACCTCAATTTCCTCATCTATAAAAATGGCTTGATTACTATGCTTACCTAATAGGGTTGGCATAAGGATTACATAAAATTAATGCATGTAAAATACTTAGTACAGTCTCTGTGCTCATGATGGTTAGCTCCAATAAGTAAAACAGTAATAATTAAAAAACAAATCACAGGCTCCTCTCTTCCCAGCCAACCACCAGCCCATTTGCCCCTCTACTTCCCATCCTATAGCCATGTTGCTTCTTTCATTCTTTTCCAGTAGATTCTATGGTTCACAGTCTTGTTAATACCCTGAACTTCCCTGCCCTGCCCATTCTGTCTTTTCATCACACTCCTTTGGCAAAATTGAGCCTAGACGACCTCAACTATCTCCCTATTTTCTGTGTGCTGGACATGAGAGTCATCAAACAGGTCAGGGCAGACTGGCTCTCTCTAAGTGTCTGAGCACCCACCTGGAATGGGCTATCTGGCTAAATGGATCCTGAGATGTTTATCTCATAACTTCCTCTCAACCCCCTCTTCGACTCTTTCATATTTTCTCCACTCTTATTCAACTCAGACCCTCTCCATCACTCACATACCTTCCTCCTCTTTTCAGTATATCATCTCACTTCCTAATTGACAAGGGAAACAGAAGCCAGCAGAGAGGAACTTCTTCAGCTCTCTCAACATAACAAAGGCTCCCACGTCCGCACACTGCTTTACCTCTCTGTAAAACAGGGAGCTGTCCCTTGTGTGGCAAAGGCCAACCACTCCACCTGGGCTTTAGATTCCACTCTCTGGACTTTTCCAGAAGCCTTCGGAGACGATAATCCCTTCTCTGGCT